CACAAAAACAATATAGCAATGCTCGCTGGAGAAGCTTACTCTTCCTTGCTTAAAAATGTTGGGAGGGAGGGAAGGGGAAGGAAGGAAGGAAGATTGAAGGGGAACGGAAGGAGATGGAGAAGGAAGGAGATTGAAGGAGGAAGGAAGGAAGGAAGGAAGGAAGGAAGGAAGGAAGGAAGGAAGGAAGGAAGGAGAGAGAGATTGAAGGAAGGGATGGAGATGGAGAGAATGGAGGAAGATTGAAGGGAAAAGGAAGGAGATGGAGAAGGAAGGAGTTTGAAGGGGGAAGTAAGGAAGGAAGGAAAGAGAGATTGAAGGGGAAGGGATGGAGATGGAAGGAAGAAAGGAAGATTGAAGGGGAAAGGAAGGAGATGGAGAAGGAAGGAGATTGAGGGGGAAAGGTAGGAAGGAAGGAAGGAAGGAAGGAAGGAAGGAAGGAGAAATTGAAAGGGAAGGAGATGGATGGATGGAAGGAAGGAAGGAAGGATTGATTTTTGGAGAGTCACGTTTTTCCAGATGGTGATGAACTGCAACTCCCAGCATTCCCCACTCTTCCACAGTGCTTTTTAGGGCTGCTGGGGATGGTAGTCCAGTAAGGTCTGGAGACACACACAGATGCCCTCCGACAGCGAGGGAGGCGGGCCGGGCGGCGCGGGGGAGGCTCCGGTGCCGCAGCTCAGCTCAGCCAGCAGCAGCAGCAGCAGCAGCAGCAGCAGCGCATTGCCTGAGCAGGGCGGGAAGAGAGGGGGTGGTGGTGGCAAGTCATGAAAGCAGCGTCCACACCTTCAGGGTGCAAATGCCTTGGACGGTTTGGCTTCCCTACCCCTTTATTTATTGATCTGCCACAAGCTCGTGCAAACAAGCCCCGAGGAGTTCTGAACAAGCGGTCGTTTAAAAAAAAAAAAAGCTTTCAGCAACGAGGCAGAAAGGGGAACTCGCTCACGGCTCTTTTTTTCCCCTTTCTCGGCGACTGGGAAGGCAGCAGCCAGAGACGCCGCTGCACAAAGGGAGGCGGAGAGAGGGGCGAGGGGAAACAACATTTGCCCTTATCGGACCCGGTTCCCTTCTGGTCGACCCCCAAATTATCTTTCCTCTCTTTCTCTTTCCTCTCTCTTCTCTTTCCTCTCTCTTCTCTTTCCTCTCTCTCTCCCTCTTTCCTCTCTCTTTCCCTCTTTCCTCTTTTTCTCTTTCCTCTCCCATTTCTCTCTTTCCTCTCTCTCTCTCTCTTTCCTCTTTTTCTCTCCCTCTCTCTATTTCTCTCTCCCTCTCAAAGATCCTTAAAATCCTTAAAAGTTATGCTTGAGCGGAAGACTTTTTCTTTTACAGATGGGGCGGATGGGCCCGACATTCGCGGGCAGGCAGGACCACGCCCGCCGAGCCGTCGCCTCCCCACTGCCCTCCACGCCAGCAGGCTCCGTCGCCGGACCTCCCAGCTAATGGGCGCAGGTCCGGGGGTCGCCAGCTGACGCTTTGGCTGGTGCGGAGGGTGAAGGGGAGGCTGCCGCAGCGCCGAACTCCTGCGCCCGTGAGCTGGGAGGTCTGGCGACGGAGCCGGCTGGCGTGGAGGGCGATGGGAGGCGGCGGCTCGGTGGGCGGGGTCCTGCCTGCCCACGAATGTCAGGCCCACCCGCCCCATCTGTAAAAGAAAAAGTCTTCCGCCCAAGCATAACTTTTAAGGATCTTTGAGAGGGAGAGAGAATGCCAGCAGTTCTGTGCCACGGAGGCTTGAGACACAGAGGCACGGGATGCGGAGCAGCGCAGCGCCGTGGGAGGTGCCAGGACAGGGGGGAGGGGTTACCTGCATCCTGCCAGCCAAATTCTGGAAGCCTGCCTGAATGAAGAATTTTAGGGGGTGTTGAAAGCGAGACTGACTGAGGGCTGTATAAAGGCCATAGATGGCTGCGTAAGCCGTAAGGAGAGTGGAAGGGAGGCGAATTTGGGGTGAAGCAGAAAACACAGGGGGAAGGCGTGCCAGCTACCTTCCCAGCGCCTGCTGCTGCCCCGCTAGCCTTACCTTGGCCACCACCCGTTCGGTGTGGCAGCAGGCAAGCCCAGGCTCTCCTGGGCGGCCCTCCCACCCCTGGCCCTCTTTTACTTACATTTAGTAGTTGCTCAGCAGGGAGGGTTGGAAACTTCCAGAAAGCTCACCTTAGCTGCAGACAACTTGCAGCAACGTTTGCCGACTGCAACTTTTGGCGGGCTCAGCAGGGCAGAGACAGCCTGGACAATTCCTATTGGCTTTTGAAAGCCAATAGAATTAGACTCTATTCAAGAGAGTCTATTCTATTGGCGTTTGAAAGCCAATAGAATCTATTGGCTTTCGAACGCCAACAGAATAGACTCTCTTGAATAGAGTCTATTCTATTGGCTTTCAAAAGCCAATAGAATAAGAGGGAGTAGCACAGCTCATGAAAAAGGGGGGAAAAACAAAAAAAAAATGCCGGATTGCGTTTCGTAAGGATTCTATGAGGAAAAACTCCAGGACTTTGGTGACCCCTGTGAAATGGTCGTTCGACCCCAAAAGGGGTCGCGACCCACAGGTTGAGAACCGCTGATTTAGAGGGACATGATCTACAACTGGGGTGGCACGCTTTTTTATGGTATGGGGAAAATAGAGCTCATAAATATTTTCAAAATCACTTTATAAGAAATGCCCTGTTAACAGTATGGGAAAAAATTAAAGCTAAAATATACCTAAAAATTCCAGGGTGGTTATCAACGATGGAGGCATTTGTACACCCGAACTTGGTAGATTTTGAAAAAATATGGACATATGGAGATATTCTAAATATTGATGGGAATTTAAAATCTAAGCAAGAACTGGAAAATCGGGGGATCAACCTGTCATGGTGGGCTCATTTATAGATACAAAGTAGATATGAAAAAGATGTGAAAATGTACGGATTTTATAAAGACCAAACTGTGTTCGATAAGATTCCTCAGATGAGAAATTAATTAAGAAAATGTATAATTTTTTTGTTAATTTTGGAAATGGAAAGCGAACAAGTTAAAGAAACAATGATAAGATGGGCAAAAAACTTTGGCTATAATATAAAACTAGAAAATTGGCAAATGCTATGGGAGAGAAACTATAAACTAACAATGTCAACCTCATATAAAGAAAACTTGTATAAAATGTTTTATACAGTAGATGGCACTTGCCACCAGCAAGACTTGCAAAAATGTTCAAAAATATGTCAGATAGATGCTGGAAATGTAAACACAATGTAGGCACATACTACCACATCTGGTGGATATGTGGCAAAGCTAAGACTTACTGGAGAAAGATATATACGTGGTTAAAAAAAATATTAGGTGAACATGTTGATTTTAAACCTGAACTTTTTTTACTAGGTATAATGTCTGAAAAGATTAATAAGCAGAGTTTATATTTAATTCTACACATCACTAGAGCAGCGAGAATAATCTTTGCACAATACTGGAAGAATAAAGAATTGCCACCAGAAGAAGAAATAATCAGAAAAATATTGGAATGTGCAGAAATGGACAGATTAACTATGAGACTGAAAGACAAAGAAGATAAGACTACTACCAAATTTGGGATTTATTTTATCGCTGGTTAGAAGAAAGAATGAAGGATTAGGAATTGAATATGTATTAGCATAGCTAATTCCAGACAACTCGTTGATTGGAAAAATTAACATATGTATACAAAAGAAAACCAATAAAATCTTTATTAAAAAAAAGAAGAAGAAAGACTCAATTCATTGGTCATCCCAGGCACCTGATGAACCCTATTGATTTTCAGAGGACACATCCCTTTAGGACCTGGTGAATGGGTTGGCCAAGGTCTTAGTCATCTCTTGGAATGAGAGGGTGGATTGAATTGTACCTGTTGTATTTATTTTAATTAGATCAATTGGAAGAGGTTATCAAGGCCCCTCAGTCCAACCTTTGCAGTTTCCAGATTAAAACTTCCTTCACAAATTCTATCCAGCATTTCCAGCAAAGAGGAAGCTGGAGCTCATGTCACAGTATGTTTTAGATGTTTTTGTAGTTATACATTCTGAAAGATCCTGCAGAGGATGATGGGTTTTTTGCATAATAAACATTTTGTAAGTAGAAAACTGAGCTAATAGAAAACTGGAGAACTGAGAGAAAATGTGCTTTGAATTGTATTTTTCATATTTATGCCCTGCTTTTCTTCTTATTAGTTCAAGATAACATTCTCAGGGTGTAGATGTTGTTCTCATAACAAACCTATAGAATGGGTTTGGTTGAGAGTAACCCAAATGGCTGAACTGGTTGAGTGGTTCAAAGATCCCAACTAACACAGGTAGCTTATACAATAGTCAAGGCACTTCTGGTTTCGGGTACTGTAAAAGAAAGCATTTTCAGAACCACGGAGAGCTCCATATAGGATTACAGTTTTTTATTAACTATCATTGTGAAAATTGTTGTTTCCACATCTGTCTAACACCTTAAAACAGTGCTTTTCAATCAAGGCCAATTCAAAAAGTGTGAACTTCACCACTGAGTGTAGATCACCATCCTCCAGACATTTTATGATTTTTTGCAGTTGCAATTCTGACAACATGTGTTACATACCCAGAGTTGTTAGTTATCTGAAGCTGAAATTAGTGTTGATAGTCACAATGGAACAGATAATCCCAGTTCTATCCAAAGTCTGAATATAGACGTGATAGTCTAGGCAAGAAAGTTCCAGAAAGGCAGCTTAAAATCCACAGATGAAAAAACACAAAGGCAGATTCTCACACACATTGTTTTTCCACTTGATTGCTGTAAAGCACTGTCCCTTAAACTAAAAGATCCGGCTTTCACCTGATCATCTCTGGTACCAGAGCCCAAGTCCTCACAGTTGGGTCTGCCTAGGATTACAGCTCAATCCTTCTCTCCTTCTTCTGATGCAAAGTCATATATCACAGTTTTGATGGTATGATAACTATCAGGTTGAAAAAGGCTGGGATAACTCAGAACCCATCCAAGCTGACCCACATCTGTTTTTTCTTTCTTTTCAGAAAGGGAAGAGGTGCCTGCGAAACCCTAAATCTCACGAGGCAATCCATTTTGAGTTCATCGGCTGCACCAGCATCCACTTCTACTGGACCAAGTTCTGTGGCAGCTGCACGGACAATCACTATTGTACGCCACGTATCACCAGCACAGTGAAAGTGGAATTTCGGTGCCCCGAGGGAGAGTCATTTGTTCGAAAAATGATGTTCATCAAGTCTTGCTCTTGCCACTATGACTGTCCTGCAGATAATGATGTCTTTCTGGCCAGTTACCACCGGTCAATGGAAGGGGACCACTTCAAACTAAAGAATCAGTAATGCTGGGTCCTGCTCCCACTCTAAACCCGGCAGATTGAATGTATCTAAAAATGCATTTGCTGATCACAAATGATCCGAGAGACTTCATGTCCAGAGACGAGTAACGTATATCTGGTGCTGCATTCTAAGACAGGGCTAATGTACTTGATTCTCCACCAACCACACCCAATCTTCTCTGAAGACCCAGATTCCATGTTCTTTCCCCTGTGAGGTATCGAAAGCACATTGATGTGTCCTATCTACATTTGGTTGCTGAATCTATACTAGCAGTTTTGCTATATGGATGCCTATCATCAGCTCTTTCCTTCACATAATCTTGGTCATGCACAATGAAGCCTGTCAGAAAATGTTAGCTCACAATGGTATAGTATCCTCTTGCTGCAGATGTTGAACAAGCATGCAGAAATATGTTCAGAAGCTGTGGAGATTAACCAAAGCTACTTCATGTTTAATTAGTATTTTGACTTTGTGTATTGTGTACGTGCAGACTGCCCTGGCAGTTGGAACACGTACGAAGTACAAATAAATCTTATCTGTGTCTGTGTCTAGCAAATCGCTAACCAGAAGGTTGTTATTTCCTCCTTGAGATGGAAAGACAATGAGGTCTATGTGTAAAATTTTCAATAAAAGAGAGCTTACGAATCTACTCGAGGTTCTCACTCTTGCAGACCGGATCACTACAAGTGGTGACCCCGACGTGATCGCTCTGAAAGTGGTACGTCCCTGGACTCTTTTACTCAATCGCCTGGAAGAGGTTCAACGCGTTTCATCAGATCTTTGCTGGGAAAAGACTGATTCTTTCGTGAGTAATGGGGGGAGATCTTTCTAAAGTGCAGTTAGCACACGTCAGGGAAATTAGAAGGATAACCGGGAGGAATTTTTTTCATTTTTCAAAGAAAGGTAATTTGCATCA